TTCTGGACAATCTGTTGGTGCAAAAGAGAAATGTGAAAACCTGAAATCCGTGGCCCTACAACTCCTCACCCGGAACTCCTTTACTTCTTAAATCGAGTCCCACTTGCTAGGAACCAGTGTGGGAAAAGCCACCCTCCAGAGAGCTTGCAAATGAAAGCTCAGACAAGTTTAAAGAGAAACATTGAGTCTCTAGAGCCCCAAACCAACTATGCAAGAGTTCTTGTCTGCATTATCCAGAGCCAGTACCTGCACCTTAGAAAGATTCCATAAAGATGGGTGCTCTCCTCATCCCAAGGTGCCCAAGGTACACTTTGTATTGAACAAGAAGTGTTTATCTTGAAAAAAAAAAAGGTGCATTTGTGGTATGTTAGAAGATACAATGTACTTAAATAGTTAGCTAGCTCCCTGGTGCCCTTACCCTTGAGAATTGAGTTTTGTATTTCCAGGCCTTGCCCATGGCCTGAAAATTTCAGGCCTGAATCACAGTTCAACAATATTTTAAAAACCTGTGTTTATCTCCATGTGCCGGGCACTGAGCTAAGAGCTTTACGCATATATCCTTACCACTGCATCCTGTTACCATAGATATTATTAGCCCCATTTTATAAATGGGCAAACAAGAGCCTGAAGAGGTGTATGACTTGCCCATGGCCACAAAGCTAGTGAGTGGTGACACTGGGATCCAAACCTACAGCATCTGATTAGGACACCCACATTGAGTTTTGGAGATACTAATTCCATCTGTGATTTACTAAGCCTGTGGTTCTGAACCCTGGCTATGCATGAGAACCCTCTGGGGAGTTTTGAAACATCTTAATGTCCACGTTGCACCCTAGACCAATTAAGCCAGAATCTCTGGGGGTGGAGCACAGGCAAAAAATTTTTTAAAGCTCCCCAGGTAATTCCAGTGTGTAGCCATAGTGCTGAGCAACTGTAATCTTTCCACTTGCTAATTTTTTTCTAACTAGAAAACAATTCTATTCCATTTTGTTCCTTACCACAAGCAGCTGTAGAGAAGACACAGGCTATGTGTAAACAGTGTGGTGTTATCCTCTGCACTAGCAGGTCCCTACTCCTCAAGGACCCAGCTGTCTCAGGCCTTGTTTTCCCATTCTGAAACAAAGAGGAAGGAGTGATGACTATGGTAGATACACATTACTCACGTTTGCAATGCAGTTTAGAAAGTTAGTCAAAAACTTAGTATTACCTTCAAAAGAATGCTGTCTTGCCAATGGGTTTCAGCCCCCGGCAAGTTCACTATGGATTCAATGTGACCAAAGAAATGACAGTAGTACATTCTTGGGGTGAAAGGCTTATACCCAACTTTATTTCCACAGTGGCACGTCAATTACTAAAATCCCATCCACTCAGAGCAAGTCTGCAAGCAGCAAGCTGGTCTCTGCCTCTTCGCCTCTCGGCCCACTCAGCCATCCTCTGAGCAGCCGTCCTCTGGGCCTCTCTGCCCACACAGCCATCCCAGTCTCTGTCCTTAGCACTGCGGCCACTCCAGCATCTGTTCTGATCTCCTGCAGACTTGCAGCCATGCCACCATGTCACCCAGAGCACTGGGCGGAGCTGTTTATATAGTCAATAGCAACATATTGCCCACATGTGTGTAGTGAGCTAGCTGAGCAGGGCCAGGTGAGAATCCTGGCCACAGGAACTTTCATTTTATCCACAAATGTTAATACTGTAGCACAACTCAGAAGATGCCTATTGCCTTTGTTGCTGTTAAGAAAAAAAAGTTAAAAGAAACCCAGGTGAGATTTGGCAAATGTGTGTGTAGGGTGCTCTCACTGATCCTGGCATTAGCACTGACAGCTTGGAAGTGCCAACATACTGATGCTATAAAAAGAGCTGTGAAGCCACTTGCCATCCATCATGACAGGAAGGAAATGAGCCCCATTTCTTGAGCACTTGTGCAGGTGCAATGGACAGAGTGGGTTTTCATGGACAGGTAGACACGGGTTCACATTCCAGCTCTGCCATTAGTAGCTGTGTGGCCTTTGGCCTTCAGGTCTCTGTGTCCTCATCTGTAAAGTGGGGCTGAGAAGGCTCACTTGGTGGCATGTGACACCTAGCGCCACACCTGGCACAGGGCCATAATTAGTATTCTGTGGAGACACTCTGTTATCTACATTTGTTATTTCACTTAATCCTTACAACATGCCCTCAAGAAGATGTCATTATTTCCACTGAAGGGAAGTGAACCTCTTGAAAGGCTCCACAAATTGCCCCAGGGCACACAGCTGTAAAATCCCAGCTTAGGATCTGTCTCATGTACCTGAAACCGGCATTCTCGGTTTTTCCCAGCTCTCTGGCTGCCACGCCTTATTTCATAGGCCCTCCTGCAGCTGATTTATCTATTAGAACAGAAGGAGATGTTCGCTGGATAATGATACAAAATTAAAAGGCAAACACAAATTTCCATCTATCTCCCTGGAACATGGCAATGTTATGAAAAGGACTGTTTGGATCAGAAAGGGCAATATTATTTTCCTTTGATAGTGGAGTCCTACCTGGAGGAGACCTAGCTGAGAAACAAAAGCCACAACTCGCTCTGGCAATAAGTGCCCAGACTTGGCTTTTTGCTGGGTTAAAAAAATATGGCTGATCGATTGCCTGGTCATGTCAGAATCTTCTAATAGTTCCATATTCCCAAGAGAATTAGTACGCATTTCTTCTGATGAGGGCTGGTTTGTGGAAACAATCTGACGTAATTTAAGGAGAGTTAAATATTGCTGAAGTAGTTTAGGAGCTCATTGCCCAGGAGGCTAGGATATAGAGGCCAGCTGGGAGAACCACCTGAAAAACTCTCATTCCGTGTTACCCCATCTCATGAAGAACTGTGTTGGTCAGATCAAAAATTCAGGAATCATACTGATTTCCTTTCCTTTCCCTTCCCACACCCAACCCATCAGCACATCTTGATATTTCGATTTCCAAAATATATTCAACATCCGCGGACTCCCACCCATCCTTACAGCTGTCTCCCTGTCCTCGGCATCACCACTTCTACTCATGGCAATGGAAGCAGCCTCCTGATGGTCTCCGGCTGCCGTTCCTGCCTCCCTCCAGTCGGTCCTGCTGACATGCTTTGAGCATTTATCACCATCTTAAATTAGCAAGATAATTTATTCCTTTATGTTTCTAGTGTGTGTTCCTCCACTAGAATGCGAGCTCTGTTTTACTTCTCACCTTATCCCACCTCCTGACACACCAAAGCTTCTTAATAAATATATACGGTACACATGAAAGAATGGATGAGTACAAAATTTTAAAAATTAACTCATGTTTGTAATTAGCCTACTCCAAAAATTCTCATGAGATTGACTTCTTAGACTGGCATTATGGAAAAGGACCACATTAATACCATAATAATAAAATAATATAAAATATTCCATATAAAGTAATACTATATTGATATGACTCCTGGAAAGGACATGAAAACAGTTGGCAAGACAATTTGGAGCAGAGGTTGCAAACGCTGTCTCAGGCAAATGTGCTCAGGCAGGAAACACAAACTGGGAGGCTGTGTGTGTAACCCATAATGAGTGGGGGGATCACAGTTTGGAGACCCCCCTGCTTCATCTAATGCGTCTTTATCAGCTCTAGTCAACTGTGGCCAAGTGACAAAGAGGGCCCAGGGATGAAAGATCTTCCAACTTTTCAAAAGAAGGTGGAAAATTTGTACATCAGTTAGAACCATGTTTGACTGTGAGTAATGACCTGAAAGACCCGTGAAGTGAGGCAGAAATGTATTTCTCTCTCACAGAAAGAGGCCGTCGTGGGTGTGCAGTTCTGGGCTCATGGAGGCTCAGTGGCCACAGGGACCCACGCGTCTTCTCACTTGTTGCTCAGCTTGACATGGCTTCCATTCCCAAGGTCACCTCATGACCCAGAGGGCTGATGTGGCTCCAGCTAACACCTCCTCATTCCAGGAAGCAGGAAGGATAAAGGGGAAAGGAAGAGCCCGGCCATTTTACAAGATTTTCTGAAAGTTTCTGTGCCACACTCTTATTTCATTTCCTTGGGCCTGAAGGTAATCATGTCGCTACTCCTGGCTACATAGAAGGCTGGAAAGTCTAAGCTTTATTTTAGGTGGACATGTGCCCAGCTAAGGAGAAGAGGAGAATGGATATTGGAGGTTTAAACCAAAAGTCTCTGCCAGAGCTAGCTTCTTCTGTGACATGCTCAAGTTTTAACACTATGACAGCCAAACAAAGCATGCCTGCTATTTGGTTCAGCGGCCCTGCTTGGAGGAGCAGGTATGCCGCAGCACATTGCTGGGGCATGTGGAGCTGGTGAGGATCATAAACAGGCAAAGGTTAGGAGGACTTAGAGAGGGAGTGCCCAGAGGAGTGTGGCCGGCAGCCTGGAGGTCGGGGAAAAGGTGAGGCGGTACCACACCCCACCTGCACCCCCAGGAGGTCAGGACACTGGCAGAATGGGGGAGGCCCCGGCTGCCAGGACATGCCTCACCTTTAGGTCTTTGCAGCTCTCCTGAGGAGGCAGTTTCAATCTCCTCTGAATCATGAAGTGTCTCCTCTTTCTGACTTTCACTGAAGGTCAGGTTCATCCTCTCTGGAGGGAGAAGGGAGCTTGGGCCAGACCCAAAGCACACAAGAGCTTGCCCACCTTCTCCAGTCACCGCCATCACCCTTTGGCCTGGGGCCCAGCCTGGTCTCAGGCTGTGTGACACTTCCCCTCCACATGGCCGAGCCTCCCAGCCACACCAGACCTTCCAGCTGGGAAAGGCCTCATGTTACATGGTGGGAAAAAGCACTGGATTTGCACACCAACTTCCCTCCCTTGAATCCCTGCTCCACCACTACTAGATGAGTGGACTATAAATTCTTTTATAACTATAAACTGGGGCTAATAGTGGAGGATTCATAGGGATCACTTACGTAAAAGGCCTTTGTTTAAAAGAAATAAAAAATTTGAACAGCTCTACATACAAATTTAAGGTTCCAGTAAAGATTCTCTGTAACTGTCCATATGTTTGAAACTGATGACTTTATTGACCAAACTTTGCAATAGAAAGTGTTAGGCTAATAAGACAGTAAGAATCAGTTACCGTATCATACACACATGAAAAAAACTGCCAGTAACATGGCTTGACTTCTGGCCACTGTCTCGGTGAAATCCAGATGGTCCCAGGGAGGGGCGGACCACATCTGTCCTTCATTCCCTTCTCCCCCAGATGACAGAAACTGTTTCTGTATAAAACAAGGTCACCCTCGCAAGTCGATCAATTCCAAACACTGTGCAGGAGTTAAATGATGCAACAAGGTAGAAAAGAGACACTAGGCCTGGGCCGTGACCGACAGCGCAGTGACAGTGAAAGACCGCCACACACAAATGCGTGTGCCCTGGGACAGTGAGCCCTTCGACGTGCAGGACCGCCGGCCTTTGGCGGCTGGGGGCTCCTGCTGAGTAATGCCACTGGGGACGTGTGAGTCACAGGTTCTGCTTTTATTTGTGTTACTATTAAAAAAATTTTTAGAACATGAAGTTCCCTAAAAGCCCTTTCTCAAAGAATTACAAAATGACAGACGTTTGGGAAACTGTGGTTTCACATATGATAAAGGCTTGTATAGTGATGCAGAGAACACCCAGATGTGGCATTTAAGACAGAAACCTTACCTGGAATATAAAAGTGGGATTCCGTTCCAGAGCAACTCACAGCACTCACGATGCCTTAGGGTGTAAGTTAACTTCCTGGTGATTAGGTCCACTTTAGAGTTAGGATACACCAGTGGGACTGGCCGGATTCCAAACCTCTCAGCATCCATGAGGTGCCTGACACAGGGCTGGTGTTTAATGTTTCATGAGTAAATATACAATCTACCAAAGGAAGGAAGGAAGGACACTACTCACTTGTGTTTGAGGAATTATAGAATTGACCAGTAAGGAGGACGAGTATCTGTATTTTAACGTGCTCATGTCAATTCTCTGGACTGTGTTATATAAACACACACCATCAGGCTGCCCACTTCTGCTAAGCACAGAGTTTATTGGTAGTGTTTGGTACAACTGTGGTCCTACCTTTCCCATCTCAGGCATCTTAACAGTCCTGTAAAAATCATGTTACATTACTTCAGAGGAAAATACTCCCACCTCAACATGTTTAAAGAAATGTTAGAAAATGTCATTCCTATCAAAACATTTTTTTACTGCCTCTGATTTCCAACACAGTGTACATGTCAGTGTGAATATGCATCACCAGGTGCTGGCTTTCTGAAGTGATTCTTTGCAGATAACCTATGACATAGCCTGGGGCTGTGGTCAGAGAGGCCAAAGGGAAGTGTGTGCACTGCCAACACATTCCAGAGTACCTCCCTGGGTGAGTGGTGTCCGTCTTTGATTAACAATTGCAAATGACCTGTCTGGAGAGAGAAAACACTCAAGAATAGAAGCAAAGCAGCCCGGGGAGCTATGAAGAATGCCACGTCTGGCTGAGCCCTGAGGGTTGTCCTAGGCTGAATGCATTAACAACAGTGACCACGGTATCATGGTTCAGAAGCTGCCAAGGACGCCGGCATGGGGGACACTGACCAAATGAGAAATGGATGTGACTGCATTATAGAGACCTCCCAAAGTCACCATGGGTGCAATGGTGTTAGTTTGAGTGAAACTGGATCTGAATCTGTCTCATACTGAGCTAAGGAAACAAGAAAGGAGTTTTCCCATTTCCTGATTTCTCATAGATTTGGGTTTGAAGGTGGGTCAAAGTCAACTTTTAAGTGACCACAGCAGGCTTTGTGATGGTGGTATTCAAAAGAAAGAACAAGAGCACAAGCCTGCCTGAGACAGCGCACGTTCCTGTGGCCAGCAAACTTTGTGTGACCCTCTCTCCTGGGGAACCTGCTTTCCTCTGTTTCATACACTGGCCTGTGGCTTTCTCTCACCACTCTTCCATCAGACCACATTGCAGGAGTCGCAAAGAGGCGAACTGAATGGAACACTGGTGGTTTATTACCAAGTGCGAGTACTGCACCAACACTTCAGGTGATAAGTAGGCAGCTGTGAACGACCCATTGGCTCAGGCAGCCAGCTGTTGGCTGCCAGGCATGACAGTCTCTCAAGGCACTCAGCAGTGTTCACATTCAGCAAGGGGCACCTGCTTCTTCCAGGTTCCATGATGGGATGCAGTGCATGAAGGGGGTCAAAGCAGTCCACCTGCCCTTACAGCTGGACACTCAGCTAGTTGACGCAGTTCTTTGTGATTCTTCCACTCCTGTCCACCTGTCGGATGCTGTTCGTAACATTAATGGTGACTTCTTTTGCAGACATTCGCTTAGCATCTCTTTTAGCCTGTTAAAAAGTTGAACACAGTGAACTGAGTTACTAGGAAATATCCAAAGATCCTCACATTTGCATTAACCTCTTAAGACTGTTACACACACACACACACACACACACACACACACAGAGTTAGGAAGAGTGGCTCACAATAACAAATGCACAAATACTCCTTTTCAAAGGTGTTTCTGTTGAATCTCTAACACCAGCCTAGCATAGAGCCTGGCATAAGGCATGCTTGGTAAAACGCTAACGAATGCATTCATTAGCAAAGGACCGCCAATGGGCAACATGGCTTCACAGCTGCCTTCACTGGTTAAGGGTTTGAGCTTTAGAGTCAGACAGACTTGTTCAAATACTAACTAGATAACTTTACTATGGGCAAGTTTTTCTAGCCCTTAGTTTCCTCATCTGTAAAGTAGGAAATAACAATAGTACCCACCTCACAAGGTTTTTGTAAGGATTAAATAAGGTAACGCATATAAGGTAGTCAGCACGATGTTTGTCACTGAATAAAAATGAAAAAAAACAGAAGACTTACTAAGTATAATAAGCAAAAAGTAGGACAGATTATCCACTTCTAAATGAAGATAAGCCAGAGATAAAGATCCAGAATTCACTTTAACACCAAAGCACTGATTAAATTGTAGCTTCTTCAACCATATGTGTCCCCCCATCAAGGGAAGACAACCAGTGGGGGACAGTTTTGTGCCCATTCCACTTAATGCAGGTATGCTTGGAGTGAGCATGAGAGGCGTCTGAGTCGTCTCCATTGCAGATGGACAGTGTGCCGCCCAGTCCCCATTCCAGGAGAGCAGCTAGCAAGTAGTCTCCAGCTGTCCCTCAGGATGGCCTCAGTGGCAGAGGGCCACCTGTCCGAGGGCCAAGCCTTCCTGAGGTGGCCCAGTGAGGGGATATATGCAGGGGTACAAAGGTCAGGCCATTTGGGCCCAATCCAGGCCAGCTCTGATAGGCCATTAAGCCCCAGAGCAATAGGTGGGGGGTCAGCCAAGGCTGCTGTCAGGCCCGCTCTTTGGCTCAGCTTCTCCGTCTGCCCACTCCTGCTTCCATCCCTTCCTTCTGCAGGTGTTGACAGGGCATTTCCCAATGAACATCCTGTATAAAGACATCTCAGCGTCTGCTTCCTGGAAAACATAGTCTCAGATTTGTGGGAGCCTTTCCCAGGGAGTGAGCATCTCCCCTTACTAGACATGAGCCTAGAAGTGATGGACACATATTTTTCATACAATATGACCCCTGTACACAAGCCAACTAGAGAAATGTAGTGCATTTAAAGAAATGGTGTACTGTTGCACCATCAGAGAAAAATTAATCAGTTTGTTGTGTTTATTAACAAATGAATTTCACATAAATCCTGTGTCGAAGCCACTCGTGATGCCCCCTGCAGATTCTCTTTGCTTGCCTGGGGCATCCAGCCCCCTACTCCCATGAGCGGTGGCTGCTACCTGCTCACAGCAGCGTACTTCTGAGAATCACCTTCATCTCACTGGGGCCACCTTGCCTAGAAAGGTTAAGAGGTTATGCCCTAATTTCTGGAGATAGCCCAAAGCCAAGGTCTGATTACTGGGGATACAAAAGGTTGACCCTTTTTTCTCAAGGGGAAATAAATCTATGCTGCCATTCCTGCTCCATAACTCCCTATGGGGTCGGGCTGAGGCTACATTACAGCTGTTCAGCTGAGCTCCCATATTGCTAAACTTGGTCCTCTGCCCCATCCTGCTCTCCCAACATTTTTGGGTTTCCCTAGAGAGTATTCTTTCAGTCAATTACTTACCCAAGAATCCTCATCTTAGGCTCTGCTTCTAGGGAACTGGACCTAAGAAAGTACTTTATGGGTGATTTAAAGGATGTTTAAGGATAGTTTTGACTATATGCAATTTTAGCTTTGATTTCATATATGGGATTTCATTGTTTTCCTCTTCATGTTTCCAGTGCCTAGCATAGTCTGAGACGTAGGAGTCTCTCAATTTAACTTTGGTTAAATGAACAAATAAGCACAATACCTTGGTCGTACCCTTAACAACCAGTAGTCAATGTTGTTTAAGTTAATACTCAGGTCTTGCCAGGGCTAGGAGTGATGCTTATGGGTTTATTTTTCCCTAAAAGCAGAGAACTCATAAAGTCCCACAACCCACTTTGTTTCCTAAAGAAAAAATGTGGCAAATGTGAAGCTAATTCCATTTGATTTCCATTCTGGGTGTTGTTAAAAAGCTTTGAGGAATAGACACAGAGTCTGTATTTGAAATGAGCCAGGTTAATGGCAGCATTCCCCTCAAACTGGTCGGCACTGAGAGAACTTTCCAGTATGGAAATGTAAACTTTCCCAACTGCATAACTACTTTTCTTTGGAGTTATTGGCAAGATTTCACAAAAGGTCATTAAAGATTATACACAGAAAACACTCTACTCTATAGTTCAGCCTGCTTTTCTAAGCTTAAAAATCCATGCAAAAGTTCAGTAGTTTGATGATTCTTCATTTCCTAGATTGAGTAAAGAGCCAAAAGCTGTAAGATAGTCATTCCGAAAACAGCCACAGTATTTGCATGATTTTATTCTCAAGTACAATGTGGCAATTTCTTAAATCTGTGTATCAAAAGCTTGCCCAGTGGAGGTGTTCAGAGCATAGGCTTTGGGGCCAGAGAGTCCTGGGTTTAGGGCAAGGCTTTGCTACCAGTTAGCTGCCACAAGACATGTTGTTTTAACCTCTGAGTCTCGGTTCCCTTACCTCAAAAATGGAGAAATAACCCTGCTTCTTAGGTTTTTCTGAGAGAAATAAGCATACCATTTAGCATTAACAGGGTGACTAACTTCTCGCAGTCTGCCCAAGGCTGACCTGTTTTAAAATTGGAAGTCCACATTCCAGGAACTTCCTCAGGCCTCTACAAACCAGGACAGTTAGTTACCTCAATAATAGTTACTAGCATTGGTTCTATTTGCAAAATGATGATCTCAGTCAAACATACTAAGTATAAATGGAAAACCTTCTTATTGTACTGAAACTATGTCTATTGCTATCCCTACTTCTAAAGAACAACAATAATAATAATGCTCTAAGATACACATTTAGATAAAGGACAAACTGGAGTGCTGTATTCCAGTGATGGGCACAGGTTCCAAGCCATAAACAAATCCACTTTCAGTTAATTATGCTGTATTAAACTGAGAAAATTAAACAACTAGAACAACAACTCACTTTCTTGGAAGCATTATGTAAAGGAAAAGCTCTCAAGTCTGAGACATCAACAGAGAGGTGTCCGCACTTTGCAGCAGAATGGATATGCAGGAGGCCGCTCACTGCTGTAATCTGGTCACAGCTTGGAAACCTCCGACTTCAAGCCCAAGTGAGACGAAGGAAGATGACAGAGAACTACAATGCCAGATTATTTTCTCTAGTTGTTCTGAGAAGTAAGTTGCTTTCCCTCCTATGGGAAAAGAGCTATATGGATACACAGAACAATTACACCCTTCTCTTCCTCAGGGCCTATGACATTTTGTATAACATGGATATCTTCCCCTCTGGTTTTCAGCCAGCCAAACCTTTTTATTTAACATCTCACCCCCTTTATTTAATGACAGGAAAACGTTCTTTTTTTTTTGCAATTACCAGCTTAAAAAAATCCTTTTGGTTCCCAACTCAACGATGAGAGAAACCTATTTGGCACCTTTGTTTTTTTTCAGCTGTCTGCTAAATCAAGCCTTCCTCCACTTCCAAATTCTTGTTTTGTGAGTTTTATCACCATTGATGCTGTGAATGGGCCCCCTCTTGTTTCTCACCCAGTTTTACAGCTTCTCTTCTTCCCTTGCCTCATTTCTGCAGGCTTTGTACTCTGTGAACGGTAGACTTCAGTCCTCTTGACACTGCCTCTTGAATTTTTTGGCCCCTATTTCTCAAGGGCAACCAGACCGACTGTGATAACTTCCCAGAGGCCTCAAACCCAGGTGATCTTGATTCTCATGGTGTTTAGCAGTGGGGGCAGCCTGGCTGCTCTGTTGAGGCCAGGACTCAAGAGTGCAGCTAAGTCTGCTTAGCCTTCTTTCACTTTCCCCTAAAATGGAAATAGAGATGTTCTCAGCTTTACTTTGACTCCATGACATATCTATACTTAACATGGGATTGTACTAACCTTTTAATAGTTCCTGGCAGACAATGAGAAAAGCAAGGCTTACTGAGATTATGGTTCATCAGACGCCAATTTTTCTGTATGACTAGTATTTTTAATTATAAAAGCAATACATAATTATGGCAAAAGAAATTCAAAGAGTAGAGAAGGACACAGTGAAAAGTAATACTTGCTACAAAGCTCTGGCCACAACTGTGCTTTCCCCAGAGTTAATCACAGCTCACGATTTCTTATGGAACACTGAAGGGGTTTTCTAAGCACATGCAGCCATGGGACCATCTTATTTTCTCTCCTGATATTCTTATATATTTGCTTGTTTACTTGCTTATTTTCTACAACCTCATCAGATTATAAACTTCAAAAAGGTAGGGACCAGTCTGCAGTGTTCAGCATGGTGTCTCCAGAATCGACCATACTGTCTATCACATAATGGACATGCAACAAATAATTTGATGAAGAACACATGTATGAAGATAAATTTTTAGAAAGAAAGTGAGAGAGAAAATTCCTAGGAACAGAACCTGTCTGCGTTGCCCTAACCATCCTAGGACCTTCCTACAGGATTGCAGTCATGCTTATAGCTGATCGTTCTTTGCACCATTGCCGAGAGCCAGGTGGATGTCAGGGCTCCCTTTCCTGATGAGGCAGCCGAGCTCACTCAGGCCACTGCAATGTGCCCAAGGCCAATGCCCACATAGGTAGTGAACTGAACTAAAGATGCAGCCCAGGGTCCTTTACATCCAGCCTCCCATGACTCCACCAAAACTTACTCTAAATTCACCACCATTTTGTTTCAGGTAATGGGAAGGAAGAGCATAGGGCTTGGAGGGAAACAAACAGGGCTTGAACTCCAGCCCAGCCAAATCCCTC